CCTTCACCTACAGTACCATCTAGAAAATACAGATGTGCTTTGAAAACACTCATGAAAGGGAACACAGCATACCCTTGTTACAGAAAGAAATGCAATGAGCAGAACTTCTTAATAAATGCCACCTACAGTGGCCTTTATGCAAAACTGAAGTCAGCAGAACAGAATGAATAAGATCTAATCTCCCACCTTGTCCTGCCATTCCAGCCCCATGTGCCTACGCAAATATTCTGGCCTTGCTGAAAATCACTCCTAAGCCAAGTTTCTTTAGCTGACGCGTGCTCTAGAAGCAAAGGCCTCCTCTGCTGATGTTTCAGAAGTCCTAATTGTTGCACAAGAGTCCAGTCCCCGTTTTTGGACAGTATGTCACCACGGAGAGTTGAGAAGAGGTCCTAGAAACTGTTCCCTATTATTGTCTGGAAACTTGCTGTTCAGATTGTCATTGTGCCTTTAGCTAAATAACTTGCTATTGGCAAGCCAACTGTGGGTTCTGTTGTGCTGGAGCTATAAATCTTGGCACACTTCCGTCTTTTATTACTAACTGGAGTGAGTAGGATGACATTGTCTCCATTAGAGGAGACCTGAAGTGAATCAAATAGCTGAACTTCTTTATAGCAAAAACAGTGTTTCTGGAACCTTGTTCTACTGTTCTTTAATTATTTTATCATTTCAGAATGAATGAGTAGAGCTTGAAATCCTGCTGTGTACTAATGATCTGATTACAGAGTTGTTCTCAAGCTTCAAAATTTGTCTTTTAGTTTTGGGGTCCTGGCATTCAGCTGCTTCAGGATTTGACCATGCGAGCAAGAATTTTTTTAAATGATGCTGGAGGCTGTAGTGCAGTCATGCACACTCTGTTTTGTGACACAAACAGTAAAGTCTTGACACAAACAATAAAGTCTCAGGAACTGGTAATATTGAAACTTTCTGAATGCCTCAACATACTCAGCTTCAGTTGAAGCCAGTAATAGGTTTGAATGCTTGATATCTTTAAAATTCAAAAATCAATTGAAAAATTGACAGTGAGGAATATACTTATGTCTATGATAACTTAACCTTATTTGCTCTAGCTGAAATGTAACTTCAACTTGAGTAATTTCTGATGAGATAGATAAATGTCCATTACTTGATTTAACTGAGAGCTGTAATATAGATGACAGGTGTTTATCTTTCACTTGAATCAAATCCAATGAAAACTGTATGCTCTCCAAGGAGTGGGACTTTGCGTAGTAACCCAACACCAAGGTTATTGCACTTCATAAACTAAGTGGGAAGATGCACTCTAATGCAGCAAATGATGGAAAGATATAAATACTGTGGAATAGAATGCAATTGCTCTTGCTTTCCGAATTCCTTTTGACTGTAGGTAATGTAAAAGAACGTGGGCCATGAGCTTGAGGTTCATACTTGTTTTCTTCTGAAGCAGAGCTACTGGCCTCTGCTGGAGTCCTGTCGACATTACAGGTGACAGGACTCATTCGAAATGGCAGAGCCCGTGTCCACCTGTAACCCTTTTGTAACTATCACCTTCTAGGTAACAGTCGGCTGCACTTTCTGGTCCTGGTGACAGGCTGTACATCGGTGGGAAAAATCCTGGACGCTGAAGTTTACAAAATTACTGCAACAGATTTCTGTCCTCTCCAGGAAGAAACCAAGGAAGAGGAGCGTGTTACGGCCTTGAAGAAAATATTGAACTCTGGGATGTTCTATTTCTCCTGGCCTAATGCAGGCTCAAACTTTGACTTGACTGTCCGGGCTCAGAAGCAGGGTGATAACCACTATGAATCCGGTAACTCGTTCTTCTGGTTAGTACTGCATGTTATATCAAAGTCTTCTGTCATCCTCATCTTCGTCTTTGTGGTCAAACATCCTCAGAGAAAATGAATGTGTGCATTTCAGGTGTGCCACCTTTCATTTCTTTAGCATGTCATTTTACAGGGCACGTGGCCTTAGTGGTGTAAAACCATGGGGGAACTTTGTGGCAAAACAGGATCAGACAAGTAACTTCTGTTTAATTAGAATTAATCTGCCTGTGGAAACGCAATTCTAATAACTGGAAATTTTGTATTTTTAAAAAGAAAACAGGAAATTTATTGTTCACACTGCAAAAAAATTCTTTATATGTAATGAACAGTTTCCCTTTCATTTTTTTAATAGTTTGCTTTAAAAGTTATCTGAGTGTAGCAGTAACCTCCACTGAAACTGTTCATAAATCACATCACTTATGCTGAAGTATCTTATATTTCTTAAAAGCGTAGAAGTTTAAAGTCTTTAAGTATTTCAATAATGTGCCCTACTTCTTATTTTGAAAACATTAATGTTAACATGTTTGCAGTAAAATATATGTTGAATACAAGGAAACTCCTGTGCTACATTTCTCTGTGCTTCTTACTTTGTTTTATAAGCACAAAAAAGTAAAAATATTTCTTTTTGTGGCAAAATTTGGTTGAGTGGAAAGGAAAGCATGTAAAAGCTGGGTTTTGTCTCCCCTGGGTGGGTTCACTGTTAAGGTAATTCAGTTTGCTTCACCATTTCTGGCAGAACGCTTGAATTCCTGTGCTTTTCTCTTTTGCTTTTTAAACCCAGGAAACACAGCTGTCCTGGAAATAAATAGGGGTTATATAATGTAGGTGGCGGCTAACTCAAGAGTTACACCTGCGCATGCTGCTAGAGTGCATGATATGTCTTGTGGCCCAAAGTAGGTGAATATTAAGTAGGCAACAAAGTTCACAAAAGATGATAAATATGACAGAGCAGTTCATTCTGGATAAATAATACAGTTATATTATTTATCCAGGATGAACTGAACGTGATTTTAACTGAGAAGATCTAGTGTTCAAGTAAGAAGAGTGAAATATAAAACTTGCTTTCAACCATGCTAATTATGCCTCCCTCTTAAAGAGCTCTCCAAGCATGTCAAGTATGACATGTGGGTCAAACAAGCTAAAGTGGAGGTATCTCTTAATAAAGAAACAATCTTTTAAACAATTCTTCTTACCAGTACTGTCTTCTTACCTAAACTGTCTTTTTAAACTTTTCTTCTTGGGAAATAAGCATTTGAACTTTTCTGCTTTCTGCACCAGTTTGCTGCCTCTGGCTAATCCAACAGTAGCCCATGGAGAGGTTCCACCCTTTCCTATGGTGTGGAACATGGATGAAGGGCTGCAATATACTCTTTCAGTTACATATTTACTTACCAAAAATGTAAAATTAACTTGCATCTATGTCAGAGAAATGCTACAGAAAACAATTTCTTTGAGGGTTTCCGTAGGTATAATAACTTGTACAGATTTGCTGTTGAGCAATGAATGATCATAGGAGGGATTTTTTGGCTCTCATCTGTGATTAAAGGCATGTTTTGAAAAGTGAAATGGGAAGAAAATCGGAATAGAAGAGACTGTCACTGTTAACGAGATATGATAAGTTTCTTGGGTTGTTGATCTTAAGATGAATTGAAGGTTAATACAGACATTTCCCCGTAATTTTAGTGGAACTTTTTGTGATATTGCCATTGATTCACAAGTCCAGTGTCTGTCTGGAGAGTTTTCTTGAAAATCCTGGTGGGTTTTAAAATAGCTTTTCATCCTGTAGTATATATTAAGGTCCTGGCAGTCCTGTTTGAAATGTAATTAGGTTGACAGTACTGTAATTTTAAAAACAGACTATTAAATATAAATGTATTTCTTGAGCTAAAAGAGGGGACATTGGCATCTGAATTTAAAAGGCAGAAGTACAAGGTATATGGAAATCTCCTTGGTGGTAGCTACGCTATTAAAACTTGCCGTGTTCTATCCAGCATAGTAATTTACAGTAATTTCCTCCTGATCGTTCTGTCTCTTTACAGATAAAGTAAAGCTACAGCAGAAAAGGAATCACATAACATTAATTGCTTAAATTAGTGATCATTGTGGGATAGGACCCGTTTCTGTCTCTCATTTTGTTAAGTAAGGCATCTGTACATTGTTGACCCTTGCAGGAACCAGCTGCTGCATGTGCCCTTCAAACACTACCAGGTGAATTGCTCTGACTGGTTGCTGAAAGTGATCTGTGGTGTCGTGGACATTCGCACTGTTTATGCTTCTCACCAGAAGGCAAAAGCCTGCCTCATATCTCGGATCAGTTGTGAGCGAGCTGGTGCTCGGTTTCACATTCGAGGCGTCAATGATGACGGGCACGTGTCTAACTTCGTTGAGACAGAGCAGGTAAGCAAATGTATTCAATAGCCTTGAATAATTCAGTCCACTCTAGTCTAGTTGGGGCAAAGTTTCCAGCAAGAGTTAGAGGAATTCAGCAGGTGCTTTTTCCAAGAATATTTGAGATGTTACTGTACCTGACAGGTCTATCTGTTCTTCCCCATTATGCATTTGCTTGCAGTCTGTTCTTTTTCTGTGTTTCTAGCTTCTCCATGCACATGCTTTTCATTAATGCTTTTTTTTTCCCCCGAATGTGAAAGTCATGGCTGTTCGTTATTGTGGTGAAATCATAAACATAGATTTTTAAACAGTTGAGAGTTCTGTGTCTTAGTTCCTGTGTAATCAACATGTGTAACCAGAAGGGTGTCAGTTGCACAAAACTTAGAATTTTCAGTAATAAGGCCCATTAAAGGTTAAAGGTTGTTTTAAATCTATTTCAGAAGACATTGTATTTATTTTATACTTTTTGCATACATTTTCAAGTATATTATTTTCTAAAATTAGTCATGTTTCCCATGCTATAGAACATTGGAGGAAAAACTTGTTTGAAAGGCTTTCCATAACATAACGATCTCTACATTTAATTTCTGTCTTTCATTTGCTTTAAGTATCTTTCTTAGTCCATACTACAAAGTTTGCTGGGGTAGACTTTAGAATCCCCTGCACTACGACGGCATAGCCGTGTCTCCTCTGATGTGAAAGAAGTTTGGTTAAGGGTTCTGGGAGTGTTTTTCAGCAAAGACTAGAGTTGAAATTCACTTTTGGCTCTAAGAAAGTCACCTAGAGTCATATAAAGTCTTATGATCATAAATATTCAAATGTAAAGTTATTCCTGTCTGCCTTATTGGATTGAAGCCTTCACTTTTGTACAGTAAGCTTTTCAGCTCTGAAAAGAGGGTGATGATTAACTTCCTGCCTCACTGGGCTTTGGCAGAGCAGTGAGGACAACATTTATAGAAGTTAAGTACTGCAGTGGTTGTTGAACTATGGTGAAGAACTCCCAGTGCTCAAATACATCATTCTAGTCAGGAGGAAAGGAACTGTGGTGGCTGGAAGTCAAAAGGCTAGTAATCAACACACAGAGAAAAGCTACCATCTTCTCACAGTCAGGCAAATTCCAGTGCAACTCACTTGGGAAGAGGCTTTGATTTCTAAGGCGTGGATTTACACCAGTAAGAGGTGGTATGACACAGGTTTTCTACATATTTATAGAAGCCTTAGTTCCAGCTGATGCTGAGAACGAGCACATGGGTAAAATGCATTCAGCAGGCTCCCTTTTTTGATGTAGCCAAACAAAATAACAATGCAGTCAGTTGGTTTTATTACACGTGGTTTGACTTACTACATTGAAAATGAATAAAACCCACTGGACCCTGAAGAATCTGAAATCTTCTGTGCCAGCTGAAATGAGTGTTTTCTTATTCAAGTGTAACCACTCTTTGCTTTTTGAATAGAAACAGAAATTACTAGCCGTCAAAACCACCATATTTAATATGCAGAAATGAATGTATCTATAAGCAGAATAGATAAATTGGCAAGTAGTAGTTTTCAGTAAAGGACAAGGATCTGTTCCTAAAACTCAATTGTTTTGAGTCTTTTCAGGGCAGGTCTACAAAACTGTGCATGTAGTGTAGAATGTATTTATACGTGTGTGTGTGTGTGTGTGTATACATCTGTATATATAGACACACGTGCCATGCAGTGCACATATAATGAAGTAGATTGTTTAGGTGATGCTCATAAGGGGAGGATGGTGAGACCTCTGTACGTGACATAGTTGGGTGTGGCGCAGAGATACTTAAGCTATCTATGTCGTTATTTTTTCCAGAAGAAATATAGCTCCATTGCTGCAGGACTGTGCCCGAGTAGTTTGCTTCTGCCAAGGATGGCATCCCGCCTTGAAAGTGTCCATATGTTGGCACCAGTGTTTCCTCATGACACTGTGCGAGTGTAGCAGGTCACTTGATGCTGTCCTCTCTGTTACCCCACTGCATGACATAGGAATGCCTTCAGGCACCTGTTTGCCCAAAATCGAGCAAGGTTTGGGCACTTTAAAAATTTCCCTTAGCATGTTGCCTTGATGGTACAGCCTCAAGCACTGCACTTGGTTTTGCTAATGACACATGTAGAAGTATCTTAAGACTCGACAGTGCTGCATTGTTCAGCTCACTTCACACGCAGGCGGCCTGGGGAGTCACAGACAGATACTCCCCTGTCTGCCTGTTGGGTTTGATGCTGTAGGCATGCTCAAAGCATGTGCAAAAGTCACATGTGACCTGCCCGATGGTCAAAGTCTCACCTGGGATGTGAGTGGCTTTTTGCTTGTGTCCCTTCTTTTCCTGGTTTGACTGCATCTCCGGTAGGCCGTCCTAGCAGCTTTCCGCTTAGCGTTCAGGCATCTGCAAATTCTGTTTGCTGGACGCCAAACTCTTCCCCTGCAGGGCTTGAGTCTGTATAGTCAGCTAGTGGATTCTGTGCTAATGATAATTTTCTTTTGTACCTCTGTTCCAGAGCAACTGCAAGTCAAGTCCTGCAATACATAAACCTTTCAAGGAAATCTAACAGTGTATTGGGAAATACAGACTGCTCACCAAAAAGTGGAATTTTCCCGTGGGACTTGGGAACAGAAGAAGGGATATGTGCCACTTTAAGTAGTAACTTGGTACAGTCCGCTATTTTGGTTGAGTGCCTTCTCACTGGCAGAGCATGTTACTTAGGATTTGAAGAATGTTCTCTTGCTGAAATGCAAAGAAAAGAAAATGTGTAAAAGGGTAGTCAGCTTTTTTCAGAGCAGCCTCAAATTTGTGGCACTATAGATAGCAGTTGTCTAAATGCAGGGGGACTACTTTTGCTTCCCTGCTCACTGCTTGGGTCGGAAGTAACTCATTGTATTTAATTATATTTGTGGAGTACATTATGTTGTAAATGATTAGCGTGAAAAATAAGATGGCCTTTGCATCACATCAGAAAAGCTGGGGGTTGGCCCCTGGTGAATGGCAAAGCAGTACCTGGTTGCTAATGTTCACAATAGCTGGGGCTGGGGCAGGTTTTTCACAGGAGCTGCTGCGCTTTGTTCCTGTGCAGCCAGGAGCTGCTGTGAAGTGGGA